AACTACCCGTTGCAACATATTCTTGCTGATTTTCATCTGAATCAATCAAATGTGCCTTTTCTCGAGACGGCATTCTATTTCGTTTCTTCGTCTGATGACACGAGTCAGTTTTGTTTTAATGGAACAACTTTGGAACAAGTGTCATTAGATGAAGTATCTAAAGTTGCGAAATTTGACTTTATGTCAACATTTATTTATAATCCACTGTCGGATAGTAAAAAGTTATCATATCTTATTGTGGGTTCCAACGATGTTTATGAAGAAAAAACGCTGTATAGTATTTCTCGACGACTGCACCATGTTGTTTCAGAATTATTGGCAATAAATCCAAATATAATGGAAATGAACAGACGGAACATATATATTTCTAACATTGGAATTGTTTTACCAGAAGAAACTAATGAAATACAGCAGATGCTCTTCTATCAACCGTCGAATAGTAGGAATCAAGGTTTGTATATCAATACGGTTGTTTATCTATCATCTTTCTGTTTCTTTGACATACTTGACGAAGTACTTAGATGGTATAATAAAAGCTTTCTAGCGAAAAGAAGTCATATGAATGGATTTGGTGTGAGAAGTAGAAAGGAATATGAAACAATTCGTAGATTATATAATCCTCATTTGCAAGTCGAATACGACATAGGCGCGAAAATTATCTATGACAGATAACAGAATACTGAAATTTGCGCTGATAAATATTTTAACCTTGAAAAGGCTGTTGAATGGGGATATAATTTTTCAAAAATTTTGTTTTATAATAAAAACTAGAGAAAAAGAAATCTTCGTCTTTATTTTTGTAAGGCATACAAATACTCTTTTTTCAAAAAATTAGCTTAAAAAGATTAAGTAACATAATTAATTCCTATCCGGTCTGCAACGCTCGAAACTAGAGCATTTAGGGTGCTTTTCGATGCTTCTAAATCCTGTAGACACTGTTTCGAGACGCGTACGATCTTAATCAAACCGAAGTCAAAGTATACCATTGAGCTGAAGTCCATAAAAATCGCTGTTGAATTCGAAATGATTTTAGTGAAAATTTACAACGTTTATAAATAAAGTCGAGATTTATGCATCAGAACAAATTCAGTCACTGAAAACATGTCTGCGATATTTCAAACAATGACATGGAACTCTTAAATGCGGAAAAGCGCATTTATGTCATCTAATGCTTTATCATGATAGCAAATGCATTCGAATGCTTCTGTAAACACCATTTCCAATGTATTCCAACGCGTTTTCTGCCACGCTTGGTGCATTTACCACGACTCATATAAAGAATATCCTTTAGAGGATGTCCTCATATAAAAGACTCTTTTGTTTCTCGTTGTCCATTTTGAGGCTGAGGGTGAAAATTGCCATTACCGAATCCAACAAAGCCCGTCAATTCCACCGGAAACAAATATTGGAACAGCCATAAATAGTACGTAAGCCAATCTGTGCGTAGTTTTCGAAAATGTTGTGAGTTTCCACCGCTCTATTGTAGGTTTTTGAGGTTTTGAAGGGAATGAGAGGCGATTCTTGGAAATTTTATTATTGGAACCGATAGAGTACTCTGAATTCAACGTGAAAGCTGTGAGATCACGGCTGGAACGCGTATACGAACGAATAAAGCTGCGAAAAGTCAAATCGAGAGCTAGGATACATTACGTGAATTTATCTATTAAGGATTTAAAAACGAATAAACCACACTTTTTAAATCGCTAAACTATCTATAAGTCAATCGATTATTTATATATTAAAATTAGATTTACAAATAAGCACGATTCATCAATATCGAATATGTTTATAACTAAGTTAAGCTTTTGTTTCCAAAACTTAGCATTTATAAATCACCTACTTGCGGACTTAACAATGATAGAAATAGTCAAAGCAGGTTGTATCTCATCATGTTAGATATCATTCCACAAATGACTCCTTCAGAAGAAATGCAAACAATCAATTGAATGCATAACTGAAGTTTGCAAATCCTAGAATTGTCATACACACAATTCTCGCCGCGATCATTGCGATCGCGTCGGCTTAGTTCCTTAAGTATTAATTGAGATCTCCGATGAACCGAATTGAATCGAGTCGCTTCAGTTCAATCTGTCTTTACTGGTTCTCTCTCATGCATGTACAAGTGTTACGAGAAGTTCCCAGACGGTCGATAGTGTATATCGTTTTCACGTTTGGGCTGATGATAGTACACACTTAGGACTAGGACATTGCAATATCTAAAAATGATTGGTTTCATTCCAACGACAAAACGGCACAGCATTGCTGGATGGTTCTTGTCGAAATTTTCCAACAACTAATTGAAGAAGAGAGGTTTTTCTTAGAAGAAGACTGTTTTTAACGTCAGCATTGGTTCAGCAGGAAATCGAGTAGGTTATGACATTCTTTTATTTTGGTAAATAGATATGCACACATTGGTGAAGGATAAAGAAAATCAATAATTTCAGTATATGTAATATAAAAGCAAGTATATGAAAATTTTGAACTATTTCTCATGCAATTGCATCTTTGCACTTCCTACAGTTTCAAAACAGTTCCTCTGCACACTTTCTTGCGAGGCACTTTTAAATGAAAAACATCTATATTTTTTCTAACTGTCAAGAATTAGTGTTAAAATTCAATTCTCTTTTTTTGCTGGAACATCTTGAAAGATTTTCTTTGTTTTGTTCAATGTGTGCATGCCTGTTTACCAAAATAAAAGAATGTCATAACCTACNATCAACTATCACTCGTCCTCAATGCATCTCTTGACTTATTCAATGTGAATAACGTTGAGAATATGGCACAACAATTTCACTCGATGCTAGAACATATATTTGGACAGAGTGGTAACGATCAACTGAGCGAGCCCATTTATGGGTTGTCATTGACATTACCGGACGAAAAGCTGCTCATGAAATCGATGAACAATACACAGACGTTATTTCCACGATTAAATTGCATTCATCATGAATTTGTTCATCAAATGATAAAGTATCCTCAAAAATTAGCAATTGAGCTTGATGACCAATCTCTAACATATTCAGAGTTCTACTATTATGTGCAGATGCTATCGTTGAATCTGTTGAATAAACATGAAGTGAAGTCAGGCGAAATTATTTGTCAGTGTGTTGAACGAAGTTTATCAATGGTAAGTCAATTGAAAAGAAGATGTCTTTTAAACATACTCTGATATGGATGATAATTTAAGGTGATTGGTATAATGTCAATTGAAATGATCGGCGCTGTTTATTGTCCATTATCACCGCGAGATCCACAACATCGTCTACACGCACTTTTGCAACAAACTCACAGTCGTCTTGTCCTTGTTCATTCTTTGACAAAAACGAATTTCAATGGCAGTATTCTTCTATTTGACATTGATTTGATATTAACGAACAGCAATATAACCGAAGAAATGAGTTTTCATCAATTATCAAGTGTAGAAGTTACGCCAGATAGTATAGCTTACATCATCTTCACGAGTGGTTCAACTGGAATTCCAAAAGCGGTTTGTTAAAACGATGATTTGCATATAATTTGTTTATCTGAATATTCTTCTTCTATAGGTTCAAGTTCGACATAGAAATTTTGCTGAATGTATGAATTCTTTGATTTATATAAATACATTTACTAAAAATGATATAATGATACAAATGGCACGTTGTTCATTCGATATTCATGTTCAAGAAACACTTGGCTCTTTAATGATTGGAGCCACATTAATCATACTTCATCCAGGGGGAACTGTTGACTTTGATTATTTGTCAGAAGTTTTAGACAAAAAGGAAATTACCTATATGCATACTGTACCGAGTCTACTGTATAGTTTTTTCAGTTTTCTTCAAAACTGTAATAATCTATACACTTTGAGGCATCTCCGGTCACTTTGTAGTATCGGTAAGTAACAATGAGATCAATGCCCATATCATCTCTGTAATTGCATTTTTTTTTCATTTCTTTTAGGAGAACCTTTTTCGATTCAATTAAATAGTTTAATAGCAAGTATTGATATCCCAAAGTGTTCTGTCTGGAATTTATATGGTCCTGCTGAAACAACAATTGCTTCTACATTTCATCTTGTAAATACTATGGCTGATCAACGAAGTGTCCCTATTGGTCTCTCACTTCCTAATTATGAATGTATGATTATTGATGAACTTTCTCAACCAATATCCGTGGACCAAGATGGCGAGTTATTAATAGGAGGAGTTGGTGTTTTTGCTGGGTATTCGGGCCGTGATGATTTAACTGCACGAGCAACCGTTGTCATCGATGATAATAGATTTTATCAAACAGGGGATCTTGTTCGAATGGATAAAAATGGTCTTCTTCATTATAAAGGTCGAAAAGATCACCAAATCAAACTACATGGACAGCGCATTGAATTAGGAGAAATTGAGCGATGTTTATTACAATCATCCGTTTCCGCTTGTGTTGTTGTGAAATTGAACGATGATCATCTGGTGGCCTATGTTCAAAGTTCTAATGTTGATGAAAAACAGCTACGTGAACATTGTCAATCTCATCTACCACCTCACATGATTCCGTCGAAGTTTATTGTGCTTGAAAAGCTGCCTTTGAACTCCAATGGAAAGATCGATCGAAAACTGCTACCTGCACCAAACTTTGCAACTGCTGTCGAAATTGATCATATAGATGTGAGTCCATTGACATCACTAGAAGAGCAACTGCTTAGTATCTTCGCTCGATCATTTCATCATGAATGTCGAAATCCTAATATGTCTTTTGCCGCATTGGGTGGTACATCATTGGATGTGATTCGTGCAGTAGCTTTAATTCGTCAAGAATTATATAGTGGCTTCGAATTTCAATGCTTAGTAAGCAATCCATCAGTGCGGGAACTGGCTCGAATACTTCAGCCTCTTGTGGTTGCACCCGAAGAAACAACTTTGGTATCAATGTCTCCATCATTGGCAGATAACCATAATCGACCATGTCCATCACTATTTATTGAAGCAATCGGTATTTTGGTGCTGATGTATCAATGGTTCTATCCGATTTGGTGGGCGTTTCAGTCAAGTCACTGTTTGGTAGTTTTTATTGTACCCATCATCCATCTCTTGTTGTACATCGTATTTCAACGATTACTGTTTGGACTTGGCGAGCAGTTATATCAGAAAGATACTCTTTACTCGTGGCGTTATTATAGATGGTGGTTTTTGGAGCGATTATGGTCAATTAATAACGCCTACTGGTTACAACATCTTGTTGGAACTCCATTTTACAATTTGTATTTACGATGGTGTGGTGCTCGCATAAGTCGTCATGCACATATTTATACAACACGAATTGACACTCCATGGCTGCTGGAGGTCGGAGATTTCACTGTCATTAATAGCGAGACTATGCTCTCTAGTATGTCATATCAAGATCAAACTTACGAACTTCATTCAATTGTCGTTGGATCACATTGTTCCATCGATACGCGATGTATGCTTTATAACGGAGTCAACGTCTCAGATCATGTGCATATTAAAGCTATGTCCGCAGTTACAGGTTATGTAGCAGCTGTAAATGACTATAAATCTCCCAAGAGCAACTCTTTGTCATATGGTCATATTATTTATCAACTTATCTGTCTTGCATGCCTTATTTTGATCCATAGTTGTTTGTTAAGAGTAACTTATTATGTTTATCAGTACTGCTTAACTTTCTACTTCCCATTATCCGTTAGCCTGGCAGTTGGCTATCTTTTCTGGATGATAACAAGTTTATTAGTTACCATTGTGTTATTAAAATTTGTCGTTGGTCATGTCCTTAGAAGAAAATGTTCATTGAATTCCTATTATTATCTCCATAAAATATGGTTGCGACAACTTATCATAACTTCATTTCATCAGGCATTCCAACTTTTGCCTACATATGAGAGATTATTTTTGCTTCTTCTTCGCTGGTTAGGTGGTCAGGCTGATGATGATGTAAAAGTAGCCGAAGTGGTACCTATTTTACGCTTTCCGTCAAATCTTCTTAGAATTGAACGTAGTGTCACAATTTTCTCTAGAGTAATGCTTGCTCCATTTGAAATGATAGATGAAGTTGATTGTTATTTTGATTATATTTCCCTTGGGCCGAATTCGAATCTTGGTAACGGATGTACACTAATGCCAGCTACACAACTTCCATCCAATACGATGATCGGTAATCTAACGAGGGTTATACGAGAAACAAATAATTCCTCTGGGGATGGAGTATGGCTTGGCATTCCAGCTCAACGTATGCCCTTTATATTACCCGAAAAAGTATCACCAGTGAACGATTTAACGTTTCATGATTTTACACCTATATATAGCTTTGTGCAAATTTGTCTCAACTTTCTGATCAGTCATTGTCTATTAATCACTCTTTACGTCTCAATGCCTCTTTTTTTCACTATAATTGTGCACCTAATTCTCTACTGCTTGTTCTATCGTGTCTTATTTATACGTGGTTGGTTCAGCGGAGCTACTGCCTCTAGCAGAGTTGTTCTTTTCATACAAACAACCTTTTCTATCATTATGAGCAGATTTAGCATTTTCATTACTCCGTTCTTATCACGATCGCAGTATCTTGTTTTTCTTTTCCGACTATTGGGTGCTCGAATTGGGTACGATGTTGTTCTACCTGACATTGATTGTCTCTCTGAGCCTCATTTAACAACTATTGGTAACTATGTTCGTTTGGCTTCAGACGCTCACATACAGGTGAGTTACGGCGAAATTTGCTTATCATTCAATTATTAGAATTTGCTTTTTTTGTTTGTAGTGTCACACATTTGAACAGCGTCTACTTAAACTAGCGCCGGTTACTGTGCACGATTCAAGTGTACTGGAAAGCTTCTCTATTGTACTCCCCGGATCAATATTGCATGGACAAAATCATCTACTTCCATTTACTCTTGTGATGAAGAACGATCAAATACCATTTAATACGACATGGTCAGGTATACCAGCACAAAAAAGATGTTGAAAACATTGTTTTAAATTTATTATTATAGTGTGAGTTTCATTTATTAACATAATATTTTAGTGCATGCCTTCTCTTCATAATAAACTTATAAAAAATTTTTATTTTCATCTTTGAACTAGCATACCATTACAGTATCCGCTCCTCTCTCAGGAAAAAATAGTTATACTCAGCATTTTCGATCATTTGTCATAAAAACTGACGTGAAGGAAATAGTATACATATGCCTGAATAGCTCATGAAGTTCTCCATAAGCTGATATATAATAGTACGGACTTCGATTTTTCTCTGAATCATAAATTCAAAAGCATTAAAAAACATCTCTCTAGTCAGACTTTCCAAAAATTTACATCCTGTTGTTGTTTTAAATTTTCCCCAAAATGATCTATTCGAAAACTAAATGTATATTCTGAATGTACATGGAATTCTCTCACGCCCTCACCCACCCTCAAGATGGTTCATGATGTACTTGTTTGCCTCATGCAACATAAACTCACCTAAGGCGGTATTGTATTGATCAAAATAAATAAACATTTTCCTGCATTTGTGTCGCCAAAGCTGTGATAGTACGCATCTTTTTTAAGATCAACTCTAGAATTATATATATACTTTTTGTATCGAAAAGACAAAAGTCTTACGGAATCAATGGGATTACATATCTCATAAATAGAAATATTTATTATTTGTAAGGAAAAGCCAATGCTACAGCTATTTTTTATTAATTTCTTCATAATTTTAGATAATTTTACAGAAAACACATCTGTTTCATCATATTCTTTTACATTATACATTCTTTACGTTAACCGTTGAAGATTTATCATCATGGCAAGTAATGCATCATTCGAACCCATAGCAATTGTTGGCATAGCTTGTGAATTCGCTGGGGATATTCATACACCAACAGAGTTCTGGCAAGCACTTGAAGAAAGACGTAGCTTAGATAGTGAAATACCTATTGAACGTACTGATCTTATGTCTTATTGTGCTCATATGTTCAATCAAGATAGCGGTGAATTTCGTAGGAAACTTATTCGTCGTGGTTATTTTCTGCCAACATCCGTATTGGATACATTCGACGCAGGCTACTTCAATCTTTCGGATGGAGACGCAGTGTCGATGGATCCGTGCCATCGTCTACTAATGCTAAAGTTCGTTCATCTAATCGACGATGCTTGCTATACTCTCGAGAAAATTCGCGGATCACGAACAGCTGTTTACATTGGCCAATTTTCCAATGATCATGTGATGGCGACACTTCGGCTCAAGCCTGAACAGCGAACACGTTATCATTGCCCTAATATATTACTTTATAATGCATCGGCTCGTTTATCATACCACTTTGATCTACATGGCCCAAATGTATCACTAGATACTGCTTGTTCTTCATCACTTCAAGCCGTCCAATTTGGTGTACAAGCACTACGTGCAGGTGAAGCAGATATGGCTGTTTGTGGTGCAGTCAATACTGTTTTGACACCTGAGCAGCTTCTCAATTTTTCAAGTATCGGCGCTATTGCCGTTGATGGACGAAGTCGAGCATTTAGTGATGATGCTAATGGTTATGCAAAAGGTAAATCATAGAAATTTAACTGAAAATGAAATTTGTATAAGGATTGAAAATTTTTCATCGGATTCATGTCTGTCAGAATGAAGAAGTTTTCTAACATCTGAAACAGAATTTGTTATTATTGTAACGAAGTAATACAATACCTGTCACCCTATTTGTAACTTTGAAAAACAATGTTCAGTCATAAACATTGTCAGAAATATTCTTTAACGTTGCACATTAAGAAAAACATAATAGATGAATAATGATAGATTTTGCAAAAGAGTAATTGATATTATATCTATCAATTATATTTTGCGAAACCGAAGTATTACTTTTTGAAAGAGCTGTTGGAATGTTGTAAAAGTTACTTTTTTGGCAAAATCTATCCAAATCAAGAAAAATAAAAATAGATAAAGCTTATGATACAAAATAGTCGACAACATTGTCTTCAGTCTTGAGCAAATTTCATGTTAAAGGAAAGAGTTCACCGATGGCTTAGCCATGGAAGTACAGAAATGAATATGCAGGTGTTTACAAAAAACTTGGGAAAAATTTTTTCTCAAAAGGTTTTTTTTCTGCTATTATTAGTAACTACGAAGGTAGTTTTTCAAGGGTTCACTTCTGGAAAAATATACTACACTTTGTATACATGGAAGTGTGACTTTTTTCCTTCTCGATATTTTCATGAACCGACTATAAAAATATGAATGTATTCGAAAAACAAGTGTGTAGAAGTAGGTATCTGTGAAAGAAAGTTTCCTGTTTCTTTTTTGCAAACACTTGTATGAGTTTATTTTTAGGTGAAGGTCTTGGTCTTGTTCTTCTCAAACGATTAAGTGATGCTGAACGAGATGGTGACAGAATCTACTGCGTATTGCGAGATATTTTAAGTAATCATGATGGATCTGAAAATAAAAACGGATACGTTGTACCATCAGCTGCTGGACAAGAACGTCTTCTCAACGAAATTTATACAAGAACACAGTATGATAAAAATCGTATCTTTTATGCTGAAGCGCATGGAACCGGTACACAAGTTGGAGATCCAATCGAAGCAAACACTATTGGCAAATTCTTTCAACGATCATCTATTGATCCTCCACTATTGATAGGATCTGTAAAAACTAGTGTCGGACATACAGAAGGAGCGGCCGGCATTGCATCACTTATTAAAGTTTGTCTATCGATGAAATATAGAAGAATTCCACCAAATATGCACTTTAAAACATTCAATCCGAAAATCGAAGCGCAACGTTATAATTTACACGTAGTACAGACTATTGTTCCCTTTCCATCTTTCGATCCTAGCAATCCAAATGAATATCCAGTAGCTATTAGCGTTAGTTCATTTGGAATTGGAGGTAATAATGCTCATGCTATCATTGAAGAGTATCGCCCCAAACAAATACCAACCATTACAAACGAATATAATCACAGCGAGCAACTTCAACAATACTTCTTGTTTCTATTTTCAAGTAAGTCTTGTCAAATGAATTTATGAAAAATTAAGTATAAGATTTTAGCCAAAAGCGGTGAATCGTTACACAAACAAGTAGAATTATTCCATGCGTGGTTACTACAGATAACAGTTCCAGATGATGAAGAGTCCTTTCTTGCACACATATCTCAACAATGTTTACTTAAGCGTACAATAAGTTACGAGCATGTAGCTGTATTTATCTCAGCTAATTTGACTCAACTGCGACAACAACTCGATTCTTTTATTTCTCAACACTCCAGTTCAGGAGTCATCACTACTAAACGTCTCGTATTAAATAATCCGCGTATATGCTTTGTTTTCAGCGGTCAAGGACCTCAATGGTGGGCAATGGGTCGACAACTGTATTCTTCTGAGCCAGTCTTTCGTCGATGGGTTCAACTGATAAGTGCGGAATTTCTCAAGATAAACGGTGGTGAATATAATATTCTTGAGGAAATGATACAAAAAAGCGAACAAGAATCACGTATTAATGACACAAATATTGCTCAACCAGCTCTATTTTCAATTCAGGTTGCTCTTGCAGCTCTTCTTTTGTCATGGCATATTTTCCCGAGTGCTATCGTATCTCATAGTGCTGGTGAACAAGCAGCCGCTTTTGTTGCTGGTCGTCTTTCATTGCCAGAAGCTATTTGTCTAGTTTATCACCGTTCACGCCTCCAACATCGAAATACACGTCAAGGCGGTCGAATGTTAGCTGTCGCTATGGATGAACAAGAAGCACGTGATTTATTATTACAAGGAGTGGAAGATCGTGTTTGTGTAGCCGTTGTGAATAGTCCTCGTTCAATAACACTTAGCGGAGATGAGGAAATAATTGACGAGATTGAAACGATTCTTTCAACATTTTATCCAAAAGTATTTAAAGCTCGATTGCGAATTCAAAATGCTTTTCATTCGCATCAAATGGATCGTTTTGGTATTAAAGAAGAGATGCTTTCAACACTTCAACATATTCGAGGGCTTCCTCTTCAAGATAAGCAAATGATGTTCAACATTAATTGTGCACATGTACCTTTTTATTCATGTGTTACTGGCCGTTTAATAGATGATAATACGCCACTTGATGCTGAATATTGGTGGTCAAATGTTCGTCAATGTATTCGATTTAGAGATGCAATTCAAACGATTAATAATCATGGATTAATCGATACTTTTCTTGAAATTTCTCCACATCCTGTTCTAGGTACATCAATTCGTGAATGTTATGAGAAAACAACCAGCACTTATCCGCTCATTCTACCTACTCTCAAACGAAAGGAAGATGAACAGATCACACTATTGACTAGTATTGCGCAACTTTCGCATTCTTTGGATGTTTGGCACCACTATCTCTCGTCACGTTCAATTCAAGCAAATGGAAATATGCAACATCTATTCGATACATTTCCATTGTATGCATTTAATCTTACTCCCTGTTGGTATGAATCAAAAGAATCTGCAATAGAACGTCGTGCCTATCGAATACCACAACATCCACTGTTGGGCGTTCGACAATGGTCTGGTCATACATCGTCAACATGGCGAAGTCTTATCAATATAAATCTACCTGAACATGCATATTTGACTCAGCACAAAATTCGGAACTCTATTTTACTACCAGCCACTGCTTTTGTTGAGATGGCCTTAGCTGCTTGTTATCAACTGCTGCAAGTAACCGCAAGCGATGACGTACCACCGCCAATCGCTTTTGAAAATATAGAATTTATCAAGGTTCTTTCTCTTTCAACGCATGAATTGACTGAAGTAATCACACAAGTTGTAATGCCAATGCGTGAATGGTTTATATATAGTCGACCGTGGTCAGCAAGTGGACAAGACTGTTTACGGCTATCAGGGATGAGCTGTAATGACTTCGTTGATTCGTTTGACAATCAACAAGCACTTAACACATATTCGTTAAGAGAATTTACTCTGCATGCGCGAGGTTCTATTGATATTGGTCCTCATCTTAACATATACGCTTCTGCTGCTGTTCGATTTGACGAGCAAACAGCCAATTGGCCTTATATCGATAATGAGATGATGTATAGTCATCCGTCAACGCGTGGTTTTCAATACGGCCCAATATTTAAAGTGACAAACTGGGCCAAATGTGTAACTTCGAAGATAACTAGTAGCGTATCTCCACGAAACGAAGAACATAAGGACAATCGTTATCATCTGCATCCAGTTGTAACTGATGGTAGTTTACAGGCACCATTGTTTATCTTGCCTGGAGAGGAAACATTTCTTCCAGTTTCTCTTGGTAAGATGGTTATATATGGAAGTACATATAATGCATCTGAAATCATTTGTAACGTGAGCTACCATTCTTCACTTGCTGGTCTCTCACAAGAACATGCAGTCACTCTTGATAGCGCCATCTTTAATAGTCAAGATGACATAGCATCACCAAATACAAAACCAATTGCTATGTTTCAAATGTTTAAATATCAACGTCAAACCAGTCATTGGTCGCCATCAAACAAATCACTTATTGAAAAAGTAAATGAACTTGTTGCTGCACCCAACGGAGAATTTACCGAGTATCTGCCAAGAATAATTACTACATATTGTCTCCAAAAGAAATGGTCACATATTCAGATTGATACATCTAAGACTGTTAATTTATTACCATCATTAGATATTTTAATTAATAATGTCGATCAAGCTGAAAAGATAAACGATGATATCAATAGTCAATTGACCAACTCAATTCAGTCTTTGAATGTACTAACTGCGAAGTATGCTCTTTATGCACTTCAATATCTTTCATCATTAAATAATATCCAGTGTATCAACGAACATGAACTAAAACATCATGTACGAAATGATGAACCTTATTTTCTTTGGCTTTTTGAAGCTATGTTTTCACTTGTACGTCAATATGAACTGATAGACCAAGTTGGAAATCCATCTTTGTCTATGACTAATCATTTACTTCAACTCAGTCGTAAACAGATTCTTGACCAATTTCCACTTCTTACATCGCTACTTAGTCTTTTAAATGCCAATGGATTACAACTTGGTCCGATTCTTTCAGGGACACAATCCGTTGGTGATCTATTTACAAACAATAAAGACAATGAGCAATTTCTAGGCGACGTACTGAATATTATCGCATCTGCAAAAACTCATCAATTCTTTCAAGTTCTTATCGATCATTTATGTATTCATCATTCAGAACGTTTACGAATTTTAATTGTTGGTTCTGGAACAAGTTCCATTACTATACCAATTCTTGAGCAATTAATTAGTTTTGCTGACCAAACAGACACCTATGTGGACCTGTTATACGTTGATCTAACGGAAACACTTTTAACAGAAGCCGAGAAGACATTACAACCTATTCTTACAAAAAATAATACCAAAAATAAGCGAATTTCTCTATCTTATCATGTATATGATGTGCAAGCTGAATTTGACGAATCAAATATTACAGGTATGTGCATATCCTATAATCATGAGCAAATTGCAGCTTTACTACACAGTTTTGAAGAAAAAACGAAGGACAAGACAATCTTCGATTTTTGAACCAATTAGTATTATTTTTGATCGTACTATATGAGAAGAAGAAACGTGAAAATTTCTGCGACTACCGCATTCCATTGTGTTGTGATATATGAAAAGAATAGGAAAATGCTACAAAACTACTGTATTGTTGCTCCGTCAAAAAAGTCTCTAAATATAAACGTTTCACATCCTGTGTGAAAAATACGTAAGTTTATACAACGAATCTGCTTAGTTCACATTACTCGAACATCGTTTGACTTTCAGACGTTATACGATTTTCCTTTCATATCAAGAATAAGTGAAACACTGACATTGCTTTTGATAGTTTTATTGCCCATCGATAACCTTCTTTTAAGACAGGTCCCTGAAATTTGAGATAATTTGTTATATAAGAAAGGCTTTTAAAATCTCGTCTGACACTTTGTGACTAGTAACAGAACCTCACATATCTTATGAAATAAATAAGTATAAATTATAATGAAAGAGCCAATCAATCCTATACAGATAACGCGCACATTGTCTTCTATAAATAACAGTAAGTGTCAAAATTAAAATTATAGGAAATGCGTCAGTCATAGATCAGCTTCTGTCGACAGATCATAGGAAAAGGTTTGCCTGAGCCCAAAATAGACAGTATCAAGAAACACGTCTCTGTGCATAGAAACACATACCATACCAAGATATATTTCATATATAATTAATTAAACATTATGATATCAGTTGAAATACGATCGCCTTACATATAGAAAGATAGAACCTTTTTTCTGCATCCGGCTCTACAGAGGAAAAACTTCCTTTAAATTGACTGTATAGTATTATATTATTACTGTCACGGTTTTTTATATGTGTCAAGTAGTATACTCCCCTCTGTTGTCTCGTTATAGTTGAAGCTTATGATGTTGTGTTTGCGGCGAATGTGTTACAGACAACAGTTAATGTTAGTCATTCAGTTGATTCATTACGCCATTTTCTCGTACCTGGTGGTCTTCTTTGTTTACTCGAGCTAACTATCACTCATTCATATTATGATCTTCTCTTTGGCATTTTGGCTCAATGGTGGCGTGACAGAGGCAGTCGTGCTCCATTAACTCTCGATCAATGGGTACAAGTTATACAATCCGCCAATGGATTTGATCTGTCAATAGTCTCATCAAAAGAAGATCAATTTGGTAACACACTCATAGTGGCTCGAAAATCAACATTACGTTCTACTCTTCTACAACTTCCCGAGTGGCAAGAACAAGCCTGGCTGGTGCTTGGAAATCCCACAAATAATACAAAAGATCTGTTTGATACACTTTTATCTCATTTACCAAGTTCGAACAACATGCTATTGCAAGATGATCTAAATATAGAAGATATTTGCTTAAAAATAAAGGATATGTTGGCAAAATACAGACAGTTACATATTGTGTTTACTTCGCCACTAGAATTAATTGCATTAGGGCAAGATAGCGACGAAATAGTATTTAAAAGACAACAAGAGTTGTGCAATATATTTATTCGTATTCTTCAAACAATTCAACAATACCGACAGACGAATGCTTGCTTTCCATACATATTTCTCCTAACACAAAACACTCAACCGATAAACAGTAATCAACGTTTTAATCTGAGTGCTACACCGTTAATTGGTCTTGCGCGCAGCTTAAGAATCGAATATGGTAGTCATCATATCAAATTAATCGATTTACAAACGACAGCGAGCACGTTTACAGATTCGGCATTTTCAACTATTCTCATTCAACATATGATCAACTCTCGAACAGTTGATGATCTCGAAGAAATTGTCCTTCATCAAACTGTAGATAATCATATAGAACGTTTTAAATGGCATTATGATTTGCTTTCATCAAAAGATCCTAATGAATTGTCAGCAGACGTCGAAACTACTATAGTACCTCAAAAAGATGCTGACATGAATCCATTTCGACTCGAAGTTGCACCATCGCGTTTTGTTAGTGATCTTAAATGGACAAAACAATTTCCTTTAACTAACACTCTATTACCTGGTCAAATTTTAGTTCGTGTGCATTGTGTTGGCCTCAACTTTCGTGATGTTCTCAAAGCACGAGGTCTTTATCCACATACTCGTAAATTCGCTGAATTAGACAAAGATCAACCGTTATACGATCGTGATACTACTATTGGTAGTGATCTTATGGGTATTGTTGTTCACTCAAATTCAAACTGTTTCAACATCGGAGATCGTGTCACTGGCTTACATTTATTCGGCACCTTTAATTCCCATATTATTACAAATGAGCTTAGTGTCATACGTGTATCTGAAGATTGCTTGATGTCGGATGAGCAATTAGGATCATTACCCACGGCATTTCTCACTGCACTTCTTTCTTTAAAATACCGTATTCAACTTAAACGCAGTCATATCGTTCTTATTCACGCTGCCACAGGAGCCACTGGCCAAGCTTGTATTCAATATTGTCAAGCAGTAAATGCTCAAGTTATTGCTACGGCAGGTAGTGAAGAAAAACGACGTTTTCTGAGAGAACATTATGGTATTGAACATGTGTTCAATAGTCGTGATCTTTCATTTGTAAACAAAATACGATGCCTTTTCCCAGATGGTGTAAATGTTGTCGTCAATTCACTATCAGGCCCATTTCTTCAAGAATCTGTCAAATTACTTGCAGCTCATGGCCATTTTATTGAACTAGGCAAACGAGATATATTTGGAAGAAGTAATCTATCGATGTTTGAATTGCGAGAAGACTGTAATTTCCATGTTATCGATTTGGCTTTACATGGTCGTGATGATCCAAATAACATACAAGAAATGCTACGCAGTATGATGGAATATTACCGAACAGGTTTATTTAAGCCTATAGAACCGTTGACTATTTTCGAACCATCTGACGTAGTTGATGCGTTTACTCAATGTAGTCTTGGGCAATCCATTGGCAAAATCGTTGTACGTATGACCACTTCTGATAAGCCTCTTCGCATCAAGAAAGCCAACTCAAGTCTGCACACGTGTGCAGATAAGCTGCAACGTATGTTATCTATATATTTTAGTACTCACCTATATAAAATATATACGCTTGTTTAGAAACAATGTTTCCATCATTAGTTTGTGACAATGGAACAATTCTTATTTCAGGTGGTCTTGGTGGTCTTGGCTTAACGATGGCTTGCTGGATGATAGAAAAACGAAACGTTAAACGCATTGTTCTTCTAAGTCGTCGTACTCTCGCACAATTTGAACAATCTGATCATAATCCACAGCTCAATGAATGGATTCATTTAAAAGAAATAGCAACTGAATATGGTGCTTTAATTGAAGTGGCCCAAGTGGATGTCACTCAATTCGACGCCGTATACGAACTTATGAAACGTCTTAATGAAACATCGTATCCAGTACGTGGTATCATCCATAGTGCAGTTATATCAGATGACAAACTACTGCCTAAGCTCAAATCAGAAACATTAGCGCGTGTCAAGAAACCAAAAGTACATGGTGGCTGGGCCCTTCATCGAGCATCACTAATGGTTCAAGCACCTATACATTTTTTCATTATGTTTTCATCACTTCGCAATCATTTGATGGATCTTGGATCGAGCGGCTACAATGCGGGAAACGAATTTTTCGAAGTACTTGCGCAATATCGTTACCAACAACTTCGATTACCAGCTCTAGCCGTTGGTTTACCAGCAATAAGTGGGGCAGGAATGTTTCACCGACAAAAAAATTTGTTGAGTAGTTTATATTCTTCTCAAGGTTTGGAGATCTTGCCTACTGGTGTTAGTTTCGAAATAATTGAAAGACTTTTTGCTACCCAAGCATATTATACATCCCCTACTATTTTTGCAGTGAATTGGCAACAATTGAATGCTCAAAAGAATCATTTATCTAATCATCAACTAGTTGAAATCGTTGAGCAACAGATTAATCAAATTGAAGCTACTCAAATTTCAACAACCATTTCGGATAATCTATCAAAAGATACTGTTGAAACTATTGTTGAAAGAACTCGAGTAGCAGTCATGCGACTTCTTGGAATGACTAGCATTGCTCGAATTGATGTAGATCGTTCTTTGATTTCGCAAGGCATGGATTCGCTTGTCGCCGTATCACTGTGTAATTGGCTGGTCCAAGAATGGGGTGCCTTTGTCGCGTTATCTGAAATTTTTCAAGGCATTTCAATAAATCAGATTGCTAATCAAGTGCATAGAAAGATGAACGATCGTCTAGAAGCAGCGGCCATCCTAGAAACAACTACTTCTACGGATAAGAATAAGTCAGACATGACTGAAGAAACAGAAGAAGCTCCAAAAACGAATAAAACACTATCATATAACGGTATGGAAAAAGTCATAAGCATGCTACCCGTCAAACATAGCAAAGCGAACATGTTCTACATTTCTCATAAGGCCACTCTTGAGACAGAATTTACTCAAAAACTTGCCGACAACAAATCAAATGTCTATGTTATTCATGCTTCAAATGACACTTCGAACATGGATTTATGTGTTCAGGAAACAATTACCCAAATACGTCGAATACAACCTCGTGGTCCTTATTCTGTATCACCTGCTACCAATGAAAGTAAAGACATTGTCCATGCAACTGTGAAGCAACTAGCACAGTATGCACAAGCAAACATAATGCATCAGTGTTGAAATACATAAAATTTATTTAACTTTTTTTCCGTAGATAACATTTAGTTATTTTTATCTTTCAGCTATGTTATTACTAATAAAAGGTAGATGTCTCGAAAGCAGCTAGCATGTTGAGGATGAGTTTCGAAAATAATTCGAAATAGTTTGCAATCGTCATTTTAATGAGAACTTGATCTAATTATAACCAAGTAAGTTTGTTATGGAAAAATATCACCCGTGTTTTTGTTCACGTCATACAACTTTACATCTAGTACTCATTATTACATTGGCTATTATTAAAGCTAAATAATCGATTGACTTCTTTAATTTATTAAGTGAAGGAAATTGCTGTTGAGGCAAAAAGATCCTGAAAAAAAAATATCTGAAAACGATGTTTATACATCAACAATCATTGAAATTTTATGCTAATATAAAAAGTAAAGAATTTATATTATTAGTGGACAACCAAAACGCGGACTAGTTGCCGTAAACGAAAGATAAAGGGCGTGCATCCTGCTGTCAAATGTCAATTTATTATTTAAAAATCACAATTGTTTTCGCATCAAGTATTAAAATTTTCGAACAGATGTGTCTACATTGCAAAGATGAATCGTTTTATTTTAGAATTTGATTCTGTATCGAATGGATTCGATTTTACTGATAGGAGTTCATTTTTATTGTACCACATATACATTTCGTTGATTGATTACCATGAAACATATCCATAATATATCTATACGTCCAATGTCAATTAGCGAGTGTTTGATCGATGAAGTCTTCAAGCAGAAAATCTGTTTCAATTTGAAAAGAATAATGTGCCATTATTTCAATACTAACAAAATCTTATGTACAAGTATTTGAATATTTTAATCGACTGTATTTTTTGCAAGAGACCAAATGTGGATAGAGACGAATATAAACAGTTCAAAGTTTTTTCTGGATTATATATGCATTTATCAGCTGACTGTTGATCTCGAAGTAATTTAATAAAATTAAATGAAAGAAAAGTACTTGGACATACTTGATGACACGCAAATGATTGAAGAAAAATAAATTTTGAATACGAAATTGCAATTTATTTTAAAATATTTGAAGATGCTAGAATGATTAAGTTTCTTTATTCCCTCTCTTGGTGGAAGAGTCATACGAAAAAAATTGTTTGTTTCTTTCTGGCACGGTCAAACGTCAAAGGTCAAGATTTATTGAAATTCTCAAAACTCAAAGATGTCTTTTGGATGAGGTCTTGAGACTCGACATAAGCTGAGGGATGTATGCGATAGTGCCAGGTTAAAAGGTCATTATTGTGGTTGTACTTAAAACTCACAAATACCTCTGTTGGGAGGCGTATTTGGGCTAGACGTTTGGGGAGATCATGAGTACCTTGACTATGGGCTGTTGAATATTAAAAAATATTTTATTTTTGAGGCAGATGATGCAAAGAAAAATTCCTAACGCAAATTGAAAATATGCTCGGTTGGTTGTTGCAGGTTGCACATCGCAAATTAAAGTTCACTAATCTACATTGTACAATAATTCGTAAGTGTCATACTAGGCGAATATCCGTAAGCCTTCGAGACGTATGCTATGGAGATCAGACATGTACGAAACCAATCTGGTTCCGGTAACAGGGACAATTAGCTAGATTAGAAACAAGACCAGCACCCAGAATATTTTGATTTGCAAATATCTGACGAAGGTGTTATCAGATCCTCGTGCGCTACTATTCGTTTGTGAGGTGTTGCTCCAATTCTAATCCATTTCCAATACTTTTGAAGTAACAATGTTGTGGATTACATGCTACATATGGAAGGTTTTAGAGCAGCGAGTCGTGAGTGGCACCGAAGAACAACGAGCTGCACTTGCTAATCTATATTCCGTTACAGAAATGACAACATTCTGGCACATTTGGATTTTAAAGTTGTATAGAATCTCACCAACCGTTACTACGTTCCTCCTTCTTTTAGAAAAATGGAGGCATGTCTAGAAATGCAAGGTCTTAGTAGCCATCCGTAGGAAGCTTCCGCTTCATGTAAACAGTGATTTTCCAAAGAGAATATCAGATAAATAAGAACAGCAATAAGAGCCCTTATGTTAGTTTTTCAAGCCGTGAGATGAATAATGACCAGTCTCGAGAGGTCATTTCCATGGGTGTATTTCTGTGGCTTTCGGGTAAAATGAACATCAAGAGTATCGCTTTTTGACTTACCAATTCAGCCGAGAGCAAGGGGGAAAGACGGTTTCTTTTCCCCTGGATCCTCACTGTTCATGAAAGATCCTGCAGTTCTTATGGCTCTCGAAAGATCCATATACTATACGTATACATTAAGAAGACCATTATTGTCTCAGATATTTCACTTATACATGTATCTGATGCACGAAATTGTCCATAACATTGAAGCGGAGAAGACTATATTTTAACGGTTCCTGTTTCCACTCTTGTCTCCCATAGTCTTCCCTAGAAGGCAAATCCTATCTAAAGCTATCTTCTCCTATAAAGATATCAGGTATTCGACACTACTGAAAGAAAATACTAATACATATTAGATTTGACGAACCGCAAACGGCGTTAAAATCTTTCGAATTTACTCTAATATAAAATTTTTTAAAGTACAGTAGTTTCTAGGTATAATCTACATTAGTTTTGCCGGGTTTGCACTTAAGAAACGCAAAAAGAAGTGGAATTTTTCTTGCTATGTTGATACAATGTAATATAGTTCGAATTTTTATTCCAATTTTAGTAAGGTCAGTTAAATAAGCAAAACAAGACAAGAATTCGAATAATAAAATATATTTTTATCCTGACATGTTTTTATGCTAAATACACTTGTTACTGTTATCGATTTATCCAGTTTCACAAATTTGACAATAAATCCGACTTTCGTAGATATTTCTGCAGAATTCTCGATGACGATTTCGTCTTGGACTATCGGGAACATTTCAGTTAATTTATGCGATTTCTATACGTGTTGTTTTAGGTGTCTTGTATCACAATTATATGGGAATCAATTGTATCTATCTGTCAGAACAACACTAAATCCGATATTGTGTCAAATCGAATCCCGAAGCCAATAAGCTTCTGTTACCTAAAATCGTATACCATCATATAGGATTTGATTATTTCGATATGATTCACCTGAAGGTGTTTCACTACGTAGAGAAGTTGTCCGCTTGAACTTTATGAAGAAGCGGGAAAGATCTACTAATGCCCAAACTTATATGAAACCACAAATGATGTGGTCCTAGCTTATAATATTGGCCAATGCGAAAAATGCGATCTTCTCCATAGATAGTGCTGATGGAGATTTACAGAATGGTGCTATTTTATATACATTCATTAGCGGGGATGGTTGTTCATCGAAGTGCAAACGTTCTAAAACCGAGGGGCATCATGACTGGGATCCTATGAGTCCTCAACGAGTTGTGATGACTTCTGATGAATTTCAGAGCATACTGTTTGTTTTGTACAGAAATATATTTCAGCTTATTTCAAGTTGTTTGCAATTGTGAGTGCCTACTATTGCCCTCGGACAGTCACTTAAAAATGAGGTCATTAAAAACAGATTGTAAACGCTTGGTCTCCTGATAGATCTTGGAGTAATATCATTCGCGCGTATTGAGCTATCTTATTCGGTATGGGAGTTGATGAAAATCAGTAGTACGAAATGCAAAAATTGAGTTCACATATTTAGTACACATACGGCAAGCTTCCAATAGTTCATTACGTAGTGATGTTATCGTGAAAACCACACTCTCCAAAGCATTCACATAGTGATGGTTTTTCTGTTCATCCTCAGAAGGATTTCAATTAAATAACTAAATATTTGATTATTTGAATTCGACTTTCGACCATTATTTCGATGAGCAAAATCAGCTGCTGTCTGTTACAGTTCATGAAATCTCTCTTTTCTCAATCTGATAGTGTGTTTCGAAAAGAATTTATTTAGCGTAAAGCTAGACTTTTTTCAAGACCTTCGAAATAAAAAAAGGTTGAATGCGACCTGCCAAAGAAAATGGTTATTTATTGCTTGTGTTTAAAAAGCTTGTGTTTACACAACCGACAAAAGAATTAAAAATAAATCTTCTTTAAATTGAAGAAAAGCATTAACGATTTGCTTCAGTATCCTGTGGCAAGTATGGGCGCCCCTTTTCAGATTCCATTGAAAATCGATACTGTTTGCGAAAAAGCGTAGGCCATTCAAAAAAATTATGACCAATCTCTTCGCTCATTTGAAAACTGTTATCACGAGGAGCCTTTGTTCCTCTAGTAGTACACTTGTCATTTTTTTAAGAAAAGATATATTTTGAAAGAGAAGACTTGAATGCATTTTTGTGTGACAAAACCTATGCATCGACTTTTTTCCTGAACAGATAGGAACCCTGTTATCCGTTCTTTTCTATTCCTCTAAAAACTAAAGTTCGATAAATAAAAGAACTTTCGTCGAGACTTATTCCAATCGATAGAAAAATTGCTAGATGTACCAAACACATGAGTTACGGACTATCTGTTATGGAGTTCACTTCCTAGACTCAAAACCGCGGATAAATCTTTACTACACCTCCTTTATTGTCCAAACTAGTCTATAGTTTATGAGAAAAGAGGCTCTCGACATTTCTTTATTTGGTGCCGTAAAAGGATATTACTACTTCAATTTCAAGTTATCCCTATAGATTCAAACACGTCCTGTTGATTCTGATAGTTCCCACCGACTTCTAACACGCAGAAGAATCACTCTTCTTACTTGAATATAGTACGTGCAAATGTAACGGGTGGGTCATAAATAATGATGGTGTCTGTATTGCCACTATAATTTCTTTGCTGTTCTATCGTTGAAGCTGATTCCTTTATCAAACGATGCGTCGTCAAATTCTCTACAAATTCACTCTGAAACGTATTTTTATAAGAAGCAAAGAAAAAAACTAGACGAATATTACTTTTCATATACAAGGCACTCAATTTTCACAAACTGACGATCATTTTATTCTTAAAAAAATTAAATATTTCATTGCCTTATTTAAAACCAATGTGCATAGAGAGTGTAACATGAAAACTCTACAAATTCTACTATAAACTCTATTTTTACACATGCACTGTTGATCACCGAAACGCTGATACATTAATTGTTTTTGGTGTTGCTATTTTAATAAATAAGCCTTATTCTCTCTATTAACTCTACTTTTCGGGTCGTTTGCTTGCTCCATTCACACACTTTTCCTCGTTCTATTGTTAATTCTAACATACTTCTACACTTTCTGCACACGTGGAAAATACTATTTTATCCCATAACCCGCTTTTTTCGTTCTTCTAATTGCTGTTTCTTCATTTTCTTCACGCAGCATATTTCTATACGTCTCCTTCGCTCAAAATGTAAGTATTTTGTAAGAAATAATGCTCTATCATCTTTTTCACTTTGCATATTCGAATGATGTTTCACGTGTGCATTTACTCTCTCCCTTTGGTTTATATGTATAGATTTACTGTTTCTTTTTGATAATCTCGATATACCCATGTCATGTATTCACTTTTACTTATGTTTACTTGAAGATTCTTCTGTGTGTAGGCTTCGACGTATTCACATTCTAGCTTCTTTAGTGCTTTGATTTTATTTCGCTCGTTTGCGATCTATAAAAGGTGCTACTCGTCTTCTTTGAACACATTTTCCGGAGAAAAGCATTGTGCTTGATTTATACTGACTGTGCATTGGTGGACACACATTTTCGGTGAATTGTACGTAATTTACTCAGATTAGAATCATATTTATTTGTTAAATTTGATTTTCATGTTTCAGTCTCCTTGCTAGTATTATTCATTCGTCAACAACGTCACATAAACAAAGATGTTTTTGAATTCAAAACTCAAACAAAAACTAAACGTTTGGAGAATAAATCTATTTTAATATCGACGCAAAATGTTGCACTTATTGAACGAGATGAAACATCAGGATTGCAAAAGTCAGACGTATGGAATATGCCATCAAAATACCGAATTCAAATGTTGCTACGTGTCACTTGCGTTCAGATTACAAGCGAATTTTAACGAATAATGAATCTACTTTAAGACTTCGTAAGCACTTGATTACACAGCATAATGTGCATGAATTCACTTCGACAAACAGTAAAAAGACAGTCACAAAGCAGATCAGCAGCGGCAACAAAATCGAATATTAAAAGCCTTGACAATTAATTGTATCAGTCAAGATGTAAGAATGTTCAATGGTTTTCAAAAGCTTGGCTTGAAAACGTTCTTGCAATAATTCATTCCTGGTAAGTTCAGGGAATAAATTAAATACCTCCCGATAATAGAAGCCCTCCTGAAAAATTTTTTATGCTTGTCAAATTAGAAGACTCTGGGAGCTTCTATTATGGGGAGGAGTCTACTTAACAGATCCCTACAGAGTTTAATCTTTTGTAAACAGCAGTAAGACAGTTGGTACGATGGCTTCTGTTAAGCTAGACTGTTAGCGAAATTTGGAGCTGCACAAGTTTATGCGAATTGTCCACAACACGAGGTTTCCTACAGAGATGACTTGTTTATCAAAGCTGAATGACATTCATATGTTTTCCATAATTGCTCTGTATTGAGAAATACTACGGACTACATGTTGATCGACATCTTTCATAGGAATTAACGTTACGAACGTAGATACTGTCTAAACCATTGTCTTATTTGTTTCATTTGTTCCCTCTACTGAAAGGAAGGTAGTGCGTCGAGATGGTATCATCGAAAAGCCAGTTGATGTTCGTTCGTTAGTTCATCCATTCATTCATCTTTCTTTCAATATTATCTAGCGGTAGTTGATAATAGTAAGGGTTGACCGAAGAGTATAGGGGTCGAGGAACTCGAGTCCAAGGTCAGCTTTTCCCCATCCATCGAGCTTCTCTCTTCATTTTTCTTTTCACAGCAGATATTTTCTCTGTCTTTTTTTCTAATCTTTTGTGGAAGGTAATGAGCTGAACGCTATTGCGATATGTGATGGGATAGAAGATGATAGCTTAGAAGTTTACGCGAAACGATTCAGCATATTTTTTATTATGATATTTATAACTCAAGAAGTCGGAGAAAGTGGTATGTGCGTTGTATCTCTTCCACGTCAGGTATTTCGGTAAGATCTTGGCGAAAATCCGCCACCAAAGGATATACCCGTCAGTTGAGTTCCATCTTAATATGTATATAAGAAAATCGACCGTGCAAAAAACAGTCTAAATAAATAAAACGCTCTTATGGATGCTCATTTCACGACAAATCATAAAATAAAACTTTTTATCTATTTTGTTTGGCAATCAAATGAATAGAAGATCACCAGCTCGGAAGCGCCAACAAAACGAAACGTAGCTATTCGCTATGAAAGTCAACCAACAGTGAATGGTGCAGCGGAGTTAGGCATAGAAACGGCTAGATGTTCCTCTTGAGAGATATTTGAAAGTTGATTTTTATAAGAGTCCAGGCAGTGTCGATAATTTTTTGAAAAAACATAATTCCTGCCTTTTCGAGGTTTGAGAACAAGCAATATGAATTACCATCTCCCTTAATTTAAAAAAACAGTAAAACATCTATGATGGATCACACAGTTGTGAAAACTTTTCATAACTTCGATTGCAGACGAACAACTAGGCGTTTGTCTGAAAAAATTTTGGGGGTGCCAAATGAATATGAGTGAAAATCTAAAGCAAATCATCGAATAAGTGCATCATCGAAATAAAATAGATTTCATTTATTCAGTTGAGCAAAAAGTTCCGCAACAACTTCACCCTCGTCCTCATATTAAAGTGTTACAAAACTTTTTGCCCAATCTAGCATTTCTTCTAAAAAAACAGATGCTATTGGATGATATCCTTTCAGTAGAGAGCCAGCGGCTACTGCGCCGCGTTACTTGTGATAGTTTATGAGCCGCCTAGTCGTTTTGCAGTTTCTCGCCGATTGAAACAACTACACAATTTTTATCAACGGAAACTAATTAATGATTTAACATCGGTTGACTACATGTCGATTACTACTGATTTCTGGACCAATCGACAAATGCGATGTTTCTTGGCGATCACGGGTCATTACTATGAAAAGGATGGTTTCAACTTGAAATCTCATGTTTTGAACTTTTCCACGTTTGGCCAACAGCATAAAGCTTGCGATATTTCCAAAATATTGCTAGAAAAGCTGATAGAATTGAATATCTTGGAGAAGGTAACAAACGTTACTTGTGATGGTGCACGAAATATTGTACCAGCCATCAAAGACATGGATTCGAATGTGAAGCGTCTATGGTGTCTTGCACATCGTCTTCATCTGATGATTACCAATGCTTTTGGCTTCTGAGTGAAGAAAAAGGATGCTGCGGAACAGAATTCAGTCGTCGAAGAGAAAGGTAACTGTAGTTTGACATATTTAACGGCTTCAACTTATTCTCCATCATTAACTAAATTTTCTTTTAATTTCAGGTAACGCAAACCTTACAATGCGTGATCATTACGACATGTCCAATATTGAAGATCTTGAGGATACTCAAGAACCCGATGGTGCTGATATGGATCTTAACGATGAATCAATGGAGTTGACTCGTTTACGTGAAGGAGAAGAACTTTTAAAAGATCCGGTAAACGAAGAAGCAATGGATAGCTGGTCCAAAGATGTTATCGAATCCGATGTTGGCCTGGTTCCCGGTCAAGAAACGGTAATTTTTCTTATCAAGAAATGTTGTGGATTGGTATTTACAATTAAGCTTTCGTCTATTATCCCATTATATTTTGATAATGAGCTTCGCAAATTGAATATTCGCAGAAACTCATGCTATGATGTGAAGTCAAGATGGAATAGTACATATACAATGTTGAACTCGTTCTTGGCCGTCTGTGAAGTTACTAAAAGACTATTTAAAAGCAAGCGCTATTTTTTTAGGCATTACAAATGCACAAATAAAAAGGTTATCGATGTTTGAATTGAATGCTGATGATTGAGACATCCTTCCAGCATTACATCAAGTTCTCAAACCATTTCATAACGCCACAACGGTAATGTGTGACCGTGATTATCCATCGATTGGACGTGGATTATATTTTCTGGCTCACTTAAAAATCTTTCTACAACAGCGCCGAAAGAAAGAGCCTTCAATGATGAAACGCTTCAAGCAGTTGCTACTCGCACAATTCGTGGTCTATTTTGAAAATGATACCGAACAAGTTCAATTACTAAAAGTAAGGGAAAGATCCTTGCTGTTTTTCTCTTTCACTGTCCACTAAATTCTGTTCGAACCATCTTAATCATTGAACGATGGATCATTTAGCATTTTCAGTAAAACGGAAATGAAACTTTTCTTCGAGAATAAAAGCCAATAAATATTTTAATGAGGCGTGGAAGGAATTATTAATGAACTCTTCTAGAGAATTAACCAAATGTGCTTGTTCGAAACAATTCATTCGTTGTTCATTTTCTCTTTTAGTTTCATTCTTATTTTGATGCAGCGAGATTCTCAGCATTAACTGATCCCGAAAAGCGCGGGATTGAACAAACGATTAAGATGATGGCAATGAATGAACCTTATGTAGCACAACCAGTAGTTTCACAGTCGCCTGATACAACAACTATCAGCTTATCACAAAAAATCGGTACACCAAAGAAGGAAAAGATGAGTACTTTAGATGTATTTAATGAATCAATCGATGAGTCGATTTATGACTCAATTCCTGAACATGATCCACGTGATTATCATAAAAAAAGCAATAATTATCGATGATATTCAAAACTATCGAAAATATATGGCACAGTTTAATCAGACTTTGCTATCGATGAGACATCAGCGACGTTGTTTCGACAAACATATCAAATTTTCAGATTTTGAAAGATCTAGCAAAAAGAATGTTAACCACTCCCGCAACACCTACGCCGAGCAAAAGTTGTTTTAGTGTATCTTCATATCTGGGTAGAATCGAGCGCGCTCGACTGACAGGAGAAAATTTAGCAGCCAATGTTTTTCTCAAAGACAAAATAGATATCTGAAATCATATTAATAGACTTTTTTCCTTCTATTCGATCTTTACTCGTATTCGTCTTTTTATCATATGCGTCCGATGAGAGTTTTATCTCAACAGATGTGTTTTCATTTCTGCATTGAGTGTATTGTTTGTATTCGCGCATAACGTTCTTTTTACTTTTTCTCCCATTGTGTTTTTGATTTTACGTTACTTACTTGAATGCCAAAAAGAGAATTTCGAATTTTAGGAGTTGCGTTCTCTTTTTCTTTTCTATTTATTCTATTGTCTGATTAGTTTGTTCTATTACCGTACTACAGAATTTATTAAAGAACATTTAATAATCTGTCTCGTGACTGGAGGTGTTATTCTATGAATTCGAAAAAAAGACTTCCGTCGATGTCTACTTCAAATTTTTAATCAGATATGATCGTGTTTTGCAATTGGTGCGGATTTTAAAAATAAAAGCGATCTAGGTGGTCATAATCACGAATAATTTGTTTATTTTAATAAAAATCTGTGTAAAAACGCAACTTTCATGCTAAAGACTTATATTTACTTAGAATACTTTTATTATCACAAGCTCGTCACGTTGCAATTCAGACTGACGATCCTTAACTTCATACTAGTTTTGGGAGGAAAATGACTTTAGTGGATCAACACTCCATGATATCAATTGCCTCAATGTCTCAGTAAACACCGACGTCAGAGTTATAACCGACACTGCTTTGTCGGCGACACTGGGCCTATCAGTGCTTCAGTGATCATCAGTGTCAATATCGGTGGAACTGGCATGTTAGTGTTACTAATGCGATCAGTGTTTGCTAATGACCAGTGTTGGTGAAAACTGAACCAGTTTTTCAGTATTTTCACCAAAACCACACGTCCCTACTCTTAAAATATTTTTATCAAAAGGGAACCGTTTCCTTTTTCCCTTTCTTATCATCGAATATAGTTGGTTAAAAGAATGCAAAGATTCAGCATGATAAACTCTATAATTGGCGATAAACAGTCTGTCTATCTTTGACTGTTACAACAAACGAAACTATAGTCGATCACAAAATGCTTCGATTCGAACAATTTGAAGCTGGTTGCACACGGTGCCGTTCATTTATATAACAAACTATGTTCTTCTAGCACTGGAAGAGACACCCAAACATTACTCCCCGGTTAAGCACATGCTAGGTTTGAAAGTTAAGTAAATTATATATGTAAAGTAATATTCATCTAGTTCTTTTTTGCTTCTTATAAAAATACGTTTCCGAGATGTTGGTGAAGTTAGCACCATATTTGAGTAAAAGCTTTCCATATTCGTTTAGGAATGCGTTTCAATCGTTCCAAACAGCGTTCCAGGTAGAACTCAACGAGCTCTATCTAGTGGTATGCTCAGTTGCGACATAGTACCAACTTTGGTTTTTCGGATCAGTACTGCCGTTATTGGAAGCCTAAAAATCAAAACTCGAGTTATGGGAAAACTGAGCAAACCATTGGATAGAGCTCGTTGAGTTCTACCTGAAACGCTGTTTGGAACGATCGAAACGCATTCCTAAACGAATATTGGAAATTTTTACTCAAATATGATGTTAACTTCACCAACGTGTTTCCGATTGAATTTGTAGAGAATTTGACGGCGCATCGTTTGCTAAAGGAATCAGCTTCAACGATGCAACACCAAAGAAATTGCAGTGAAAATACAGACACCATGATTTATGGCTCACTCGATAGGTTGGCCAAAAAGTTCTGCAACACTTCATAAGATAAATTCTTTCGCAAGTGTTGCAGAGCTTTTTGGCTAAGCTGATGTTATAAAACTATCTACTTGTTAGCGATCACGTATCACTCATCTCTCCCATTTGAAAGAATGCTATCTTCGATACCATTCTTTCTCTCTGTTCTCTTTTGTTGCCCGTATATATATATATATATATATATATATATATATATATATATGTTTTATATAGATTATACGGAGAGATATTCCTCTGTCNTTTATTAATAGCATGTTTTAGGGCAGTGATGAGTGCTGTTCTATATGTCACTGTATCCCATTTGATTAGTTTAGCAAATTCGTTCCAGATGCAATAATCCAATGGATTTAGGTCTGGAGTATTTGGTGGGCAATTGTCCTTATCATTAAATAACGGAAAATGTTGTATACACTATTAACTTTTCACTAACATAAATATCTTTATCTTGCATATAACTAGAAGGTAAAAGACTTATTGTTGTTATTTACGCATAACATTCTCTATTAGTTCATTACTTATGTTCAACAGCTGTGCCTTGTCTTTACTACCTATCAAAGTCATTAACGATCTCAGAGCTCTAAAACTACAATATCTGATTTATAAATTTCATTTATTTATTCTGAAAGAGTTTCAAAGATAAAACAGCTGCCTATAGCAACGTTCTAACTACATAGCGATCGCTGTCATAGAATAATATTATCAATTGAACATCACAGATAAGTTTATAACATTCCTCGTATTGAAGATAGACAACAGTTAGTGAAAAGTTAATAGTGTGTGCTTAGTTGTAGTTATTCTAATGAGATAATAATAATAGTCATTTTTATTTTGTTACCGTAGATGTCTTTTTCTTCATTCATATCATTGTTCTTAAAGGAGAAACTTGACGATTGTTCTATTATAGATTCCTACATTTTTTACATATCTGTTGCAATGGAAAATCAAGCGGAAGATGTCAACGTCGAACAAGACAATGGCAATAATAAAAAAGAGGACAATATGAATAAAAAAAAGATTTTTATACCACTCATTGGTACTTTAGGTGATTGTAAACCTTACTTTATTCTTGCCAAGGAGCTTAAAAACCGAGGACACACCGTTTGCCTTGGTGTACACAAACGTTTCGAAGATCAAGCAAAGGCTATAGGTAAACATTTCTTATGAAAATTAGAGCTGTCACAGTTTACTTAGTTCTCAAGACTAGATATGACATGAAATCATCAGGGTCCTAATCAAAATTGAATGATCTTTTCTCAAGGTCGTACGCTTCGTTTGATGACGTTAAAATATACAATGGATGGCTCATAAAGAATGAGGGTCTCCGTATTTCTCGACTATCTCCACCATTTTTCATTTGTTTAAGCTACTCTCTTTTTAAACGATGCGCCGTTCGATTGTATACAAAAAATAAGTATTTTCATTATTTTGAAAAACGATACGGTGGATTGATCCAGGAAGAACAACTTTCGAAAGCGATATATTCACAAAATTTTTATTAATAGCATGTTTTAGGGCAGTGATGAGTGCTGTTCTATATGTCACTGTATCCCATTTGATTAGTTTAGCAAATTCGTTCCAGATGCAATAATCCAATGGATTTAGGTCTGGAGTATTTGGTGGGCAATTGTCCTTATCATTAAATAACGGAAAATGTTGTATACACTATTTTTGTGACTTTGCGCCGTCCCATTGAAATATCTACTGCTTTTCAAACACGTAATTACTAAATTTTAGACCTATTACCAACATCGATTTTCAAGAATTCACACGTATAGCTCTGTTAGTATGAATTGCTTTTGGACGACCAGATGAACCCGATAGGTTAGTACAGTCAGTATCACGAATACTTTCACGCTCTCGTTCAATTGTTGAAAGAACAATTGCACCGTTTAGATCTAAAAAATCTTCGTCGATCCATTACCACATTCATACTTTGAAAGTACAAGTTTTTGTAAGTCTCTGCTTTTCATTATGTCAAATAGCAATGACATTATCGAATGTAAAATAAAGTACCTATTTTTATAGATAATTGAACGGCGCATCTTTTAAAGAAGTGTAGCTTAAACAAATGAAAAATGGTGGCGATATTCGAGAAATGCGGAGACCCTCGTTCTTGATGGGTCACCCAATAGATAAATGTAAGAAGTGAAAATAACGGCTGGACTACAAAGAATGGCCATCTCAGCATTTTCCCAATAGCTCATTCGTTTTGTAAACTACCGAGCTAATTGTTTCTCCGAAAAATGCGCCAGCAAATCTTCTACATAAAGTGTCTACTTGGTTTTCCTATTTTCATTCACAGTTAATCTTCAGGACATGAAAAGTAAAGACTTTCGAAAAGTCATACTTTCATGGTTCCCGATTGTGACGATTTCTGATAGAAGAGATTGTTAGCGTCATTGGATATTACTTCATGACGCTACCTTCTATATAGTTGTTTTCTTGTATTTCTATACATATACATATATATGTATTTCTTTTTCTCTTTCTTTCCTCTCGTTTTAGTTTTCGTTTGATTATCATGTCCGTTCTCATGATGATCTCTGTGATTGCATTTCTTCTTTNCTGATTTTCACGGGGTGTCGGTTTCAAGGGACCACAATAGTCAATACCGATCATCAGAAAGGGACCCTCAGGTGGATTAAGGGAATGTAGATGACCAGGTTTCTTAAGGCGGCTAATATTATGCTGTTTACATAATAGACAAGACTGTATGTATCGTCTAATAGCCGATTTCATAGACGGCCACCAATAAAGGTTTTTAATCTTCCGATAGGTGCGTTCAAACGAAAAATGCGCGCCTATCATAGGATCATCGTGACACGCTCGAATTAAGAATGGCTCCATAGACAAAGGTAAATAGACAACTGCTATTTTACGTTTAGAATGTCGCGAAGGTTTGATCATCTTATAGAGAAGGTCATCCTTAAATACAAAATCGAGATTCGGTACACCATCAGAAAGTTGATGTACAATAGTCTGTATAGCAGGATCATTTCGTTGTTCTGCTTGTAGCTGACTGATATCGAAATAATTAGTGGAAAAGTGTTTAGGTGACACTGGCGGAGAAACAATTTGATCTGGATCGCTTTCGCTGACATTATCCCTATCGTTTGTCTGCGCATCAGAGGTCAACCTATTCTTATTAGTGTGTGATCGAAGTGTCATTGCCGCAAGGAGACCTTGTTTACTGGCTAGACCATATTCGATCTCGAAAAGTTCATCATGTGGATCAGGAGAATAACGAGAAAGAAAATCAGGAAGGCAGTTCTCGCTGCCTTTGATGTGTATGACTTGATCGATATTATATTCCTGAAGAAGGTGAGTAATACGTTCGACACGTGCATTATGTACTGATTTTTCCATGAGATGACAAAGAGGACAATGATCAGTACGTAAAATGATGCTGCGACCTAACAAAAATGTACGCATGCGTGCGAAACATTTGTATATAGCGAGTGCTTCTTTCTCTATAGTGCTATATTTACGTTCACATGTAGTCATCAGTTGAGAATGGTAATACAAATTATGAATCTCACCATGGATTTCCTGTTGTAGTACTCCACCTATACCAATATTACTAGCATCAGTTGTCAACATTACAGGAACGTCATCAACCGGAAAATGAAGAAAAAGTGGCGTGCTAACGAGCATCTGTTTCAGAGTTGTGAATGCCTGTGATTGTGCATATCTCCAGTGAAACTTATGTCGATTTGCTTTAGTAAGATTAGTGACTGCGTGTATAGGAGCGGCAACGGTAGCAAAATCAGGAATAAACTTTCTATACCAGCTCAAAGAGCCGATAAACTTATTAGCCTGAGCAAGAGTTTTAGGTTCTTTAAGTGCTAAAATAGTATCAATGCGTTCTTGCAGAGGTTTAAGACCATATTGGCTAACTGTGTGTCCGAGGTAATCAATTTCTTGAGCAGCGAAAACACATTTAGGAGGGTTAAGAACTAAATTCTTAGCTTGTAATGCAATAAGAACTCTTTCTAAATGTGCTAAATGTTCTTCAAAAGACTTAGAAAAAATAATGATATCATCGAGATATACCGAGGAAAAGGAACGACAGGATTTCAATGTGTCGGTCATGACTTTTTGGAAGGTAGGTGGCGAGTTCTTCAGACCCATAGGTAGAACATTATACTGGAATAATCCAAAGGACGTAACAAATGCGGTTTTGGCTTTATCCTCGTCACGGATCGGAATTTGATAAAATCCGGATTTGAGGTCCAATTTAGAAAAATAACGATAACCTGTACCTAACTGACGAAGCGTTTCTTCCATATTAGGTAAAGGTGAAGAATCCTTAATCGTAACTAAATTCAATCGCTTGTAATCAACCACAAATCGATGGGTTCCATCTTTCTTTTTAACAAGCATGGCCGGTGCAGCATAGGGAGAATGAGATTCAGAGATCAGACCTGCCTGTAAAAATTCCTGTATTAAATCATACAGGGTGTGATCTTTGTCAGGTTGTGGGTAAGGTTTACAAGCGGGTGGAGAGTGCGGAACTGTATTTATAACATGATGAATAGATGTGTTAGCAATATTATGTGTACGAACGTCAAAAGATGATGGAAACTTAATAAGTAATCGATATAATTGGTCTCGACCGGATGGATCATCGATCGATTGGACTAACTGATCAATAGACTTTACTACCGACTCGGGTAGTGCATTAATTGCATTACAGGTGAAGGAGTGAGTAGAAGGAAAAGAATGATGGTACGGACCAAATGATATGGTCGAACCATGAGAAGAAGAAGCAGCTGATACATTGGCCGGATAATACAACGGATCTGTGCGTGTATCAGGAATACTGATAGCATCGAATGATACTGAAGTAGTGGGAAAGATGATAGGAATGAAACGAGATGTGTCGCCATAATTGATATAGCCGAGACGATTATCATTTCTCACTGTGTGTTCTGTATCCATACGTATAGTAGCAATTTGACTATCGTACTCAATGGATATAGTTTGACGGGCTACATTAAAGCTAAGATTATACTGATTTATATAATCCATGCCTAAAATCATATTGGTACATAGATTATCAGCTATCTGAGCGGTGACTGTAGTCATCATGTGAGCAAATTGAAGAGTTAGAACGACCGTACCTAATACATGAAACGGGGCGACTCCGTCAGCTAAAACGAAGGAAGAATGGGTGCTGTCAATCATCGTATAATGGGGAAATTGTTCTAATAGATGTTTATGAATGAAAGTTGTTGTTGCTCCGGTATCAAGTAGAATTGGCGTAGAAAGTTGATTGACATAAGCAGTGAAATAGATTAGAGAAGATTTTGATGGGTTTGAAAAAACATGCCCGGAGACAACACCATCTATCGATGTCTCCGGGTCTAGAAACTTGAACAGGCCGAAGCCTCATGTCCAAGTTGATTACAACGACTACAGAGAACGGATGAGAGTTCATTTGATATAAGATCAATGTGATCAATTGATTGAGCTAGATCAATAACATTAACGGTAGGTTGCCGGAGGGGCGTTGTGTTGTTAGTATTGGAGTGTGTCATAAGAGGGCGAGGAGGATTACTAGTAGTAGAGATAGGAGCTGAATTACGCGGCAGAGACTGTTGTGAAAAAATGGGGTTGGGAGTCGACCGACTCTGGGATGCTGGAACCGATGAGTTAGAAAAATTTCTCGGTTGAGAAGGAAAATTCCGTTGTTGAGGAGAAAAATTTCGACGGTTCGAACCTTGATTTCTATTATTAGAGTTACGAGAACTTGTATACCCATAGTTATGTTGGGAAGCAGAATACGAAGGAACAATAGATGTAGATGTAGATGGCGAGAACGAATCATGCGGTACGCCAAGAGCACTAGGAAAAGGTAAATTTGATAATTGCATAAGCTCTTCAGCTTCCTTCGCAAACTCAAGAAATTCGCTGGTTGACTGAGGTTTTTTCTTGCGCACCTCATATTGAATAGAAGGCTTAGTTTTATTTAACAGATTTTTTAGTTTCGTAGCCTCACTCATGGTTGGGTCAGCTTCTTTACAAAGCTTCAATACTTCATTGACAAAGTTACGAATCGATTGAGTTTCTGTTTGAGAATAGGACTCCAACTTTTTGAAAGCTAGTTCTTCGTGAAAAGATGAAGTAAATGCTCGTTTCAGCTCTGTAACAAAAAGAGTCCACGAAGTAAATGAAGAACGATTATTCTTAAACCAATCTAATGCGTCACCGCGCAGCGAATAAGAAATTAGATCCAAACGAATAGATTCGGGTAAGTGTGCTAAATCAAAGAGGTGTTCGATGTTTTCGATCCATTTCTTAACATCGTCTTTACCGCCTTTGAATACCTTAGGATTTTTGATGAAATCTCCTACAATAGCTTTACGAAGATCATTCAGAGTTTGATCAAGTTCAAAATTAGAAGAAGCTTGAGAAGAAATAGTGGAATTTATAGCTGATTTGCTGTGTGTAGGAGCGGCAACATCACTTTGGACTACTGAAGTAGTTACCGAAGAAAATAATGGATCGAAAGTGTCCGACATAAAGTCAGTTGAAAGTTGTTTATGAGGTGAGGCAATAGAGGTATGACTATTCTTTTCTGGCAAAGTATCATTCGTGAATCGAACATGATGAGTAGCAGCTGATGAGGAGGAAATAGATGAAGAATCGAATTCCGTTAGCATAAATGCGTAGAAATCATCAAAAGATCTTATTGATGCTCGACATCGAATGTAACGTCGTTTAGCTTCGCCTGCCACTAAAAAGGATATGGCAGCAAATCGAGCGTGTCTACCTATATCAAACTTTTTGAATTTTTCTTCAGTGTCATCAAGCCATTGAATGACATCTTCGCGACCGGTATACTGAGTGAAATGGTTTAATATGAAAACATCAAAGGAATCCTCTCCAATTTGTTGATCATCATTAGAATTTGACTTTTCGTGAACATCATCAATTTTTAAATTAGCGAATCGACTTGCTAAATTACTTTGTGGAGAACAATCAGATTTACTCGAGTGCTCCCGTGTGTTAGATAAAGAACTACCTTGATTTAATGGAATTAGAGTCTCTTCTGCGGAAGAATTGTTACTTTCAGATTCCTTTGTTTGTTGAAGTATCGTAGGTAGCAGTGTTAATCTCCCTGTTTTGAAAACTGTATGTGATACATCATCATCGATGTTCTGTGTAGAAGAAAAGGCTGGATTAACATTAAATTGTTCCGAAGCTAGTGAGTCACGTGCTTCTGTAACAAAATCTGATGTGCTGTGCTGGGGCTCTGTCATCGTGTAGATATGTAAATATATTTATTTCTATATATTTTTCTTTTCAAGAATGAATAGGAATGGATAATCGTCTCTATGTAGAGAAAGAAATGTATCTTCTATTGTATAGATTACGTAGGAAAAAGAAGAAAAGACAAAAACAACTATAAAGAAATGACGTCAGAAATAAACAGAACGGATAATTTCGCGATCTGAATAGCACGCCGTTTACAAATGTATAAATATATATATATATATATATGTATGGGTTCGTTTTCGTATCAATAGTTACGAACGAACAAAATAGGCGAAAAGATGCCCAACTTCTCCACCAAAAATGTGAGTCTCTTGTATCAGGGGATGTGATGAAACCTCCAGCTACCGACTATATCGTAAGCTGAATCCACTAATCGAACGAATGGTCTGATATACGATCAAGACTCACGTCGTGGAACCTACCTGAGATGACTGGAGGTGATGAGAGATGAGGAGAATGGATGTGGATGAGATGATAAGGGTGTTTTATTGGATGAAATCAAATAAAACACTAAAGAAAATGATAACAAAAGACTGGCTCGAAAAGAGAAAAACAACAGCATATATACAGATCGAAGATGATCTGAGAAAAAAAAAGAGAAAAAGAAGAAAACAAAGAAGAAATGCAATCACAGAGATCATCATGAGAACGGACATGATAATCAAACGAAAACTAAAACG